TTATGGTGAACAGCTGGATCCCTGAGCACAGCTGGATCCTTGTACACACCTGGATCCTCAGGCACACTTGGATTATGGGGCACATCTGGGGCTGCACAGCTGGATCTTTACACACACCTGGATCCTCCTGCACAGCTGGGCCCTTTGCACACCTGGGGGCTCGTGCTTGTGCTCACCTGGATCCCTGAGCACAGCTGGATCCCTGAGCACAGCTGGACCCTCAGGCATAGATGGATCCCTTTGCTCACCTGGATCCCGGTGTGTTCACTGTCCTGGATCCCTGTGCTCACCTGGATCCCTGAGCACAGCTGGATCCCTGAGCACAGCTGGGTCCCTGAGCACAGCTGGGCCCTGAGGCACAGCTGGATCCCGGTGTGTTCACTGTCCTGGGTCCCTGTGCACCCCTGGATCCTCCTGCACCCCTGGATCCCCCCCCAGGTGTGTCCTGGGGCACACCTGAGTCCCAGGGCACTGCCAGGTGTGTTCCCATCCACACCTGGATCCGCCCCCCAGCTGTGCCCCTCCCCCCCACGCAGCCCCCGCCCCCTCCCCCTCCCACGCACACGCGTGTGCAGCGGGGCAGCCGTGGGGCAGCACGGGGGGAGAGACACGGAGACACACACGTGTGGCATGGAAACATGTGAGAGACACGGAGACACACGTGTGTGACATGGAAACACGTGAGAGACACGGAGACACACAAATGTGTGACAGGGAAGGATGTGTGTGAGAGCGAAACACGAGAGACACGGAGACACACACGTGTGTGACATGGAAACACACACACGTGTGACACGGAAACACGTGTGGGACACAGAAACACACACTTGTGGGACATGGAAACACGTGTGTGACATGGAAACACGTGAGAGACATGGAAACACGTGTGTGACAGGGAAGGATGTGTGTGAGAGGGAAACATGAGAGACACAGAAACGTGTGACATGGAAACGTGAGACACAGAAACACGTGTGAGTGCACACGCACCTCAAACACGTGTGTGAGAGACACAGCAGTACATGTGTGTGAGAGACATGGCAACACGTGAGAGACACAGAAACACACGTGTGTGACATGGAAACACGTGTGAGACACGGCAGCACACGTGTGTGAGTGCCCACCCGTGAGGGCACCACCCACAAACACACATCAACACGGAGGGACACACGTGTGTGGCCTCCTGCACACGCGGGCACCTCACGGCTCACACGTGACCCTGACGTGTGCCAGGGAACACGAGAGCCGGGGAACACGCTCCCACACACGTGTGGGTGCAGACACGCACCCCTGGGCACCCCCGGGGCTCTGGGGGGGTGAGCACACGTGTGCACACATATGGACATGAGCACACACGTGTGAACACGCCACACACATGTGGACACACTAAACATGTGTGAACACACCACACACGTGTGGACACACACACACACGTAAAACACGTGTGGACACACCAAACACACACGTGGAGAGACCACACACACACACTTGTGAGCAACACACCACACACGTGAACACATCACAAAGACGTGAACACACCAAGCACACACCTGTGCACACACACACGTGTGACACACACACACACACACACACGTGCACACCCACGGCCCCCCCCGCACACACGTGTGCTCCCCCGGCCCCCCCACGCGTGTGCGACACGCGGGGCCTCCCCAGCACACGCGTGTGCGACCCCCAGCACACGCGTGTGACCCCCAGCACACGTGTGTGACCCCCAGCACGTGTGGCCCCCACGTGTGACTCCTCCCACACCCCGGGGTCCAGGCCAGGCTTTGGGGGTGGGGGTCAGGACCCCAACCCGGGATCCCTTTGGGGGTCGTGGGGGGACCCTCTGTGTCCCCGGGGTCCCAGCCTGGCCCGGCCCCCACGTTTGAGGGGGATCCTGTCCCATCCCATCCCCCGGCGCAGAGACCCCTCTGTGGGGGGGTTTGGAGGGGATTTGGGAGTCTCTGCCCCGGGGTCCCCTGTGTCCCCCCGTGCCCCTTCTCTCCCGCAGCTCTAACCCCCGGTTCTCTCCCCCAGCCTCTCTGCAGCCGGCGCCGGACTCCGGGACCACCCGCGACCCCCCGCCCCCAAAACACAGGGGTCCCCCAACCCTCCCCCAAACCGGGGACCCCCAAACCCCCTCCCCCCGTGTCTCCGTCGCGCTCGATCGTCCCTGGCTGTGGGCCCGGGGAGGGGAGATGGGAAGAGCCCCCGATTTAGGGCCCCCTCATCGAAGGCCCCCCGTTTTAGGGTCCCCTTGGCAGAGCTACCCCCTCTCCCCAGGGTGCTGCCCCCTCCCCCAATAAAGGGGGTCTCGGGCACTGGCTTCGCGGGGGGCACAGCCCCTTTTCCCGCTGCCAGGGGACAGTCAGGGTGTCCCTCCCATTTCCACCCCCCACCCCGTTTTGTCCCCTTTCCTTTGTCCCTCCCCCGATAAGGGACCCCCTCCCTCCCCGTGTCCTCCTTTCCCTCCCCAGGGTCCCCAATTCCCGGGTTGGGGTCCCTCTCCCTGGGTTGGGTCCCCCAGGACCCCCAGTCGCTGATGAAACGCTTCTCTTTTCTCTCCTCCTTCTCCCTGTCCCCACCCGTGACTCCCCCGTGTCCCCCTGTCCCCCCAGTGTCCCCCTGTCCCCCCGTGTCCGTCTGTCCCACTCCCGTGTTCCCCTCCATGTCCCCACGGGGCTCTGTCCCTCTGTCTGTCCCTCTGTCTGTCCCCATGTCCCCCTCCATCCCCGTGTCTGTCCCCGTGTCTGTCCCCTTGTCCCCCTATCCCCCATCCCTCCCCGTGTCCAGTCTGTCCTCATGTCCCCCTGTCCCCGTGTCCATCCCGGTGTTCCCGTGTCCCCCCATCCCTCCCCGTGTCCGTGTCCCCCCACCCATCCCCCCATGTCCCCCATCCTCTCCCCATGTCCCCCCATCTCTCCCCGCGTCCCTCCTCTCCCCGTGTCCCCCCTCCCGTGCCTCCCCTCCCCCTCCCCCTCCCCCCTGCAGTTTTCGTGTGCCCGGGGGTCCCGCAGCGCGTGGGGCCGGCGCTGTCCACGCACGAGTCCCCGCACCAGGCCGGGGGGTGGTGCCGGGACCCGCTGCAGTCGGGTGACCGGCTGTACGTGCTGCCCTGGGTGCCGTACCGCACCGACACGCTCACCGAGTACGCCTCCTGGGCCGACCTGGTGGGCGCGCGGCCCGCGGCCACGCACCGCCTCCCGCACCGCGCCGACGGCACCGGCTTCGTGGTGTACGACGGCGCCGTGTTCTACAACAAGGAGCGCACCCGCAGCATCGTCAAGTACGACCTGCGCACCCGCATCAAGAGCGGCGAGACCGTGGTGGGCGCCGCCAACTACCACGACACGTCCCCGTACCGCTGGGGCGGCAAGACCGACATCGACCTGGCCGTGGACGAGGACGGGCTCTGGGTCATCTACGCCACCGAGGGCAACGGCGGGCGGCTGGTGGTGAGCCAGCTGAACCCCTACACGCTGCGCCTCGAGGGCACCTGGGAGACCGGCTACGCCAAGCGCGCCGCGTCCGACGCCTTCATGGCCTGCGGGGTCCTGTACGTGCTGCGCAGCGTTTACCTGGACGACGACACCGAGCACCTGGGCAACGCCCTGGTCTACGCCTTCGACACGCGGCGCGGCCGCGGCGCCGCCCTGGCCCTGCCCTTCCCCAACCCCTACCAGTTCGTGGCCTCCGTGGGCTACAACCCGCGCGACAACCAGCTGTACGTGTGGAACAACCACTTCTTGCTGCGCTACGCGCTCGACTTCGCGCCCCCCGAGGGAGACGGTGAGGAGGGGGTTGGAGGGGCGGGGGAAAACGGGGCGGGAAGGGGGGGAATGGGGGTCCCAGTTCGCTCTGGGGGGAAGCCTCGGTCCTCAGAGAGACCCCTAAATGTTTTGGGAAGAGCTTTTGGGGGTTCCAGTTTACTTTGGGGTGGTCACGGGTGTTTAGGGGGGGAATGGGGGTCCCAGTTCGCTCTGGGGGTGAAGTCTCGATGCTCAGAGAGACCCCCAAATGTTTTGGGAAGAGCTCTGAGGGGTGCAGCCCCTGGGGGTGCAACCCCGATGTCCAGAGGGAGCCCCAGGGATTTAAGGGGAGTCCTGAGGGTCCCCGTTTACTTTGGGGTTGTCGCGGGTGTTTAGGGGCCCTGGGGGTCCCAGTTCGCTTTTGGGGGTGAAACCTCGATGCTCAGAGGGAGCCCCAAATGTTTTGGGAAGAGCTCTGGGGGTCCCAGTTCGCTCTGGGGGTGCAGCCCCAGAGACCAGAGGGAGCCCCAAACGCTTGGGGGGAGCCCCGGGGGTCCCAGTTTGCTTTGAGGGTGAAGCCTCGATGCTCAGAGAGACCCCAAATGTTTTGGGAAGAGCTTTTGGGGGTCCCCGTTTACTTTGGGGTGGTCACGGGTGTTTAGGGGGGCACTGGAGGTCCCAGTTCACTCTGGGGGTGCGGCCCCAGAGAACAGAGGGAGCCCCAAATGCTTGGGGGGAGCCCCGGGAGTTCCAAGTTTGGGGAGCAGCCCCGATGCCTGGAGGGAGCCCCAAATGTTTTGGGAAGAGCTCTGGGGGTCCCAGTTCGCTCTGGGGGGGAAACCTCGATGCTCAGAGAGAGCCCCAAACATTTTGGGGAGCTTTGGGGGTCCCCGTTTACTTTGGGGTGGTCATGGGGGTGTAAGAGGGGCACTGGGGGTCCCAGTTTGCTTTGGGGGTGAAGCCTCGATGCCCAGAGAGACCCCCAAATGTTTTGGGGGAGCCCCGGGGGTCCCAGTTCTCTTTGGGGGGGCAGCCCCAGAGGGAGCCCCAGATACTCAGGGGGCCCTGGGGGGGTCCCCGTTTATTCTGGGGGGGTTCCTGGGGGTCGTGGGGAGCCCTGGGGGTCCAGCTTTACTTTTTGGGGGCAGCCCCAGAGCCCCGGGGCAGCCTTGGGGGTCCGGGTTTACTTTGGGGTCCCCCAGATAACTTTGGGGGAGCAGCTCCGATGCCTGGGGGGACCCCCAAGAGCTCGGGGTTACCCCCGTGGCTTTAGGTTGACTTTGGGGGTCCCACCTTGGGGGTCCCACTTTGGGGGTCTCACTTTGGGGGTCCCGGGTTGACTTTGGGGGTCCCACTTTGGGGGCCCCAGGTTATTTTGGGGGTGTCCTGGTCCCTTGGGGGGCCTGGGGTCACTTTGGGGGTCTCCCTGTTCCTCCCCAGCTCAGGTCGGGAGGCTGGAATTGCCCCCACTCAGGGCTCCCCCACCCTGACCCCCTCTCTTATTCCCCCAGGTCCGGTGACGACGGAGCCCCCAGCGCGCCCCCGCACCCACGGCCCCCAGCTCGGCGGCCCCCGTTCCCCACCCCCACGGCCCGGCGGGACCCTCACCCCCGCCTGGGACCCCGGGACCCCCAGGCCCCGCCCACAGCGCCGCCACCTGGGGTCCCGGGACCCCCAACGGCGGCCTGGGGTCCCGCCGCCCCCAGGGGTCCCGCCGCCCGCCGGGGGGCCCGGGGGCTCGGGGGCAGGGGAGGGCCTGGGGGCCGGGCCCGGGCGGGGGCCCAGGGGGCGGGGGCAGCTCTGCGAGGCCCGGGAGGTGCGGAGGGTGCAGTGGCCGGCGGCGCAACAGGGAGCGCTGGTGGAGAGACCCTGCCCCAAGGGGACACGAGGTACGGGATTTTGGGGGTCTGGGGGGTCTGGGGGCTATGGGGGGTGTCAGGGAGGGCTCTGGGGGCACATGGGGTCAGGGGCACCAGGGGGTCCTGGGGGCACCAGGGGGTCCTGGGGAGCTCTGGGGGTGTCAGGGGGTTATGGGAGTATTTGGGGCAGTGGGGAGGGTGGGAGATATTGGGGGGTCCTGGGGGCCTCGGGGTGGGGAGGGTGGAGGAGTTTTGGGGTGTTCCCACGTTCCTTTGCCCCCTTTCTCTCCCTCTGACCTGCTGGGGCTGGGGAGGCAAAGGGGATGGGCTTTGGGGGTATGGGTGTCATGAGGGGTTGTGGGGTGTCATGGGTGGGGTGCGGGGGTCCTGGAGGGGATGGTGGGTGCTGGGTCTCTGACCTCTTTGTCCCCAGGCATCGCCTCCTTCCAGTAGACCTGCTGGGGCTGGGGGTCCTGGGGGCAAAGGGGGTGGGCTTTGGGGGTGTGGGGTGTCATGGGAGGTATTGGGGTCCTGACCTCCTTTTCCCCCAGACATCACCTCGTTCCAGTGCCTGATGGGGATGGAGGGTGGGGGGTGTCCTGGGTGGGGTGGGGGTCCTGGGGGTGTTGAGGCGTCCGAGGGGGTGTTGGAGGTCCTGGGGGTGTGGGGTGTCATGGGGGTGTTGAGGGTCCTGGGAGGTGTGGGGATCCTGGGTGTCCCTGACCCCTTTTGCCCCCAGGCATCACCTCATTCCAGTGCCTGCTGGGGCTGGGGGTGTGGGGGTCCGGGGGTGTGGGGTGTCCTGAGGGGTGTTGAGGGTCCTGGGGGTGTGGGGTGTCCGGGAATGTGGGGTGTCCTGGGGGTGTGTGGGGGTCCTGGGGGTGTGGGAGTGTCATGGGGGTGTGGGGGTCCTGGGTGTCCCTGACCCCTTTTGCCCCCAGGCATCACCTCCTTCCAGTGCCTGCTGGGGCTGGGGTGTGGGGTGTCCTGGGGGGTGGGGTGTCCGGGGTGTGGGGGTGTCATGGGGGGTGTTGGGGGTCCTGGGGGTGTGGGGGTCCTGGGTGTCCCTGACTCCTTTTGCCCCCAGGCATCGTCTCCTTCCAGTACCTGCTGGGGCTGGGGGTGGGGTGTCTGGGGGTGTTGGGGTCCTGGGGATGTGGGGTGTCTGGGGGGCTGTGGGGTCCTGGGGGTGTGGGGTGTCCAGGAGGGTGTGGGGCGTCCCTGAACCCCTTTTGCCCCCAGACATCACCTCCTTCCAGTGCCTGCTGGGGCTGGAGGGTGGGGGGTGTCCTGGGTGGGGTGTGGGGTGTCATGGGGGTGTTGGGGGTCCCTGACCCTCTTTGCCCCCAGGCATCGCCTCATTCCAGTGCCTGCTGGGGCTGGGGGTGTGGGGTGTCCTGGGGATGTGGGGTCGGGGGTGTGGGGTGTCCTGGGGGTGTTGGGGTCCTGGGGGTGTGGGGGTCCTGGGGTTCCCTGACCCCTTTTGCCCACAGGCATCGCCTCCTTCCAGTGCCTGCTGGGGCTGGGGGTGTGGGGTGTCTGGGGGATGTTGGGGGTCCTGGGGGGGTGTGGGGTGTCATGGGGGGTGTTGGGGGTCCCTGACCCCCCTTTTGCCCCACAGGCATCGCCTCCTTCCAGTGCCTGCTGGGGCTGGGGGTGTGGAACCCCCGCGGGCCCGACCTGAGCAACTGCACCAGCCCCTGGGTCAACCAGGTGGCCCAGAAGGTACCGGGGGGGACCCCAAACTGGGACACACCCCCAAAAATGGGGGCACCCCCGAAATGGGGACAACCTCCCTCCAAAATGGGGACACACCCCCAAAATTGGGACACACCCTGAAAGAGGGACACCCCCAAAATGGGGATAACCCCCAAAATGGGGATAACCCTTCCCAAAATGGGGATAACCCCTGAAATGGGGATAACCCCCAAAATTGGGACACCCCCCCAAATGGGGGGCACTCCTGAAATGGGGACACACCCCCAAAATTGGGGATAAACCTAAAACTGGGGACACCCCAAAACTGGGACACACCCCAAAAATGGGACACACCCCGAAATGGGGGCACCCCCCCCCAAAATGGGGATAACCCCGAAACTGGGATACACCCCGAGATGGGGACCCTCCCCCTCAAAATGGGGACACCACCAAAATGGGGCCACCCCCCAAAGGGGGACACCCCCAAAATGGGGACACCCCCAAAATGGGGACATCCCCAAAATGAGACCCTCCAAGAAATGGAGAATCCCAAAACTGTGACCCCAAAACAGGGACCCCCCCCCCAAAGATAGAGATACCCCCAAAACAGGGACCTTCCCCCCCCAAAACAGGGACAACCCCCCCTCCAAAAGGGGACCCTGAAACTGGGACCTCCCAAAAATGAGCTTGCCTCCAAACAGGGGCACCTCCAAAATAGGGACCCCCCCAAAAAAATGGGTATTCCTCCAAACTGGGGACCCCAAAACCAGGGACCCCCCCAAAAATGGGGATCCCCCCAACTCTGACCCCCCCAAAGGGGGTTGCCCTCAAATGAGGACCCCCCCCCAAAAAGGGAGATACCCCCAAAAGAGGGACCCTCCTCCCCCCCTCCAGCCCAAAATTGGGAGCCCCCCAAATGGGCACCCCCAAAAAATCGTGGAGAACCCCCCCGACCCCCCCACTGAGGGCACAATTCGGGGGGTGGTCCCCACTTAGGGGGTCTCCCCACCCCCTGGGGGATGTCAGGGTGCCCCCCTGACCCTGTGGGTGCCCCCTCAGATCCCCTGTAGCCTCCTCCAGATCTCTTGTAGCCCCCTCAGACCCTCATGGTCCCCCCCAAAACCCCTCCTTAGAGTCCTCTCAGGGCATCCCCCTCCCCCAGGGGTGGGTGCCCCTCACTCAAGGGGTCCCCCAAACCTCCTCCCACCCCCCCAGGGGATATCAGGGTGTATCAGGGTATCCCCCTCGATGTTTGGGGTGCCCCCTATGTCTCTTGTAGCCCCCCCAGACCCTCCTGGGCCCCCCCAAAACCCCTCCTTGGAGACCCCTCAGGGCACCCCCTCCCCAGGGGTGGGTGATCCCCACCCAGGGGGGTCCTGGGGATATTGGGGTGCCCCCTGACGCTTAGGGTGCCCCCAATTCCTGGTGTACCCCAGATCCTCTGTACCCTCCCCCAGATCCCAGATAGTCCCCCCAGATCCCCCATATTCCCCTCAAACCCCCTCCTCAGGGCATCCCCCTCCCCAGGGGTGGGTGGCCTTCGCTCAAGGGGTCCCCCAAACCTCCCCACCCCCCGGGGTGCCCCCTGCTGTTTGGGGTGCCCCCCTCAGCTCCTCTCTACCCACCCCAGACCCTCATGGCCCCCCCAAAACCCCTCCTTGGAGACCCCTCAGGGCACCCCCTCCCACAGGGGTGGGTGATCCCCACCCAGGGGGGTCCTGGGGGTCCCGGGGTTCCCCCCCCCACATTTGGGGTGCCCCCATCCCCAGATCAAGAGCGGGGAGAACGCGGCGAGCATCGCGGGGGAGCTGGCGCGGCACACGCGGGGCCCGGTGTTCGCCGGCGACGTCAGCTCGGCCGTGCGGCTGCTCGAGCAGCTCCTCGACATCCTGGACGCGCAGCTGCAGGCCCTGAGACCCCTGGAGAGGGAGTCAGCCGGCAAGATCTACAACAAGGTGAGACCCCAGAACAAGGTGGGACCCCAGAACTACAACAAGGTGAGACCCCAGACCCGGATTTGGGGGTTCAACCCACTGGCAGTGAGGGGGGGACCCTGGGACGTCCTGGGCAGACCCCACAGGCCCTGAGACCCCTGGAGAGGGAGTCAGCCGGCAAGAACTACAACAAGGTGAGACCCCAGACCCAGATTTGGGGGTTAAACCCCCTGGGAGTGAGGGGGGGGACCCTGGGACGTCCTGGACAGACCCCACAGGGCCTGAGGCCCCTGGAGAGGGAGTCGGCCGGCAAGAACTACAACAAGGTGAGACCCCAGAACTACAACAAGGTGAGACCCCAGAACTACAACAAGGTGAGACCCCAGAACTGCAGCAGGGTGAGACCCCAGAACAACAACAAGGTGAGACCCCAGAACTACAACAAGGTGAGACCCCAGAACAAGGTGAGACCCCAGAACTACAACAAGGTGAGACCCCAGAACTACAGCAGTGTGAGACCCCAGACCTGCTACAGGGTGAGACCCCAGAACTGCAGCAGGGTGAGACCCCAGACCCGGATTTGGGGGTTAAACCCCCTGGGAGTGAGGGGGAGACCCTGGGACATCCTGAGCAGACCCCACAGGCCCTGAGACCCCTGGAGAGGGGGTCAGCCGGCAAGAACTACAACAAGGTGAGACCCCAGAACTGCAGCAGGGTGAGACCCCAGACCCGGATTTGGGGGGGAGACACCTGGGACTGAGGGGGACTCGCCTGTGGGACATCCTGCGCAGACCCTGCAGGGCCTGAGACCCCTGGAGAGGGAGTTGGCCAGCAAGAACTGCAACAAGGTGAGACCCCAGACTTGGATTTGGGGGTTCAACCCCCTGGGGAGGGGGGGGGAACACCCAGGAGTGAGGGGGGACACCCAGGAACAAGGGGGGAACACCTGGGACAGAGGGGGACTCGTCTGTGGGACGTCCTGGGCAGACCCCACAGACCCCGAGGCCCCTGGAGAGGGGGTCAACTGGCAAGAACTGCAACAAGGTGAGACCCCAGAACTAGATCAAGGTGAGACTCCAGACCCATGGGGATTGCAGGGGACACCTGGGGAGGGTGGGGGAACACCCAGGAGTGAGGGGGGACACCCAGGAGGGAGTGGGGACACTCGGGAGGGAGGGAAGGAGCTCTGAGCACCAGGGGGAGGAAGAGCGGCAGCAGGAACTGCTCCAAGGTGGGATCCCAAAAACCTGGATTTGGGGTTCACCCACATGGGGGGCAGGGAGGGTGGGGAGCAGGGGGGTACCGAGGGGGACTGGGCTGTGGGACCTGCTGGACCCGCAGCCCCCGGAATGGGAGTGTCCCAAATGTTGGGGGGCTCTCATTGCAGCCCCCCTGGCCCCCAAGTCTGGGGGGCTCCTGCCCCAGATCCGGGACTTGTTCTGCCCTAGATTTTGGGGGGTGTTCTGCCCTAGATTTTGGGGGGTTTCTTCCCCAGATCCAGGGGTCGTTTTACCCCAAATTTTGGGGGGCTCCTGTCTGAGATTTGGGATTGCTGTGCCTCAGATTTTGGGGGTTTCTGCCCCAGATTTTGGGGTCCCTCCCCAATCCCGTTGTTCCCCCCCCAGATGCACAAGAGGGAACGAACCTGCAAGGACTACATTAAGGTGAGGGGGCGTGGCTGGGGAAGGGGGCGTGGCCTGTGAGGTGGGCGTGGCCTGTGAGGTGGGCGTGTCTGCAGGTGCTGGTCGTGTCTGATGGGCGGAGCTTGTGGAGTTGTGGGTGGGGTCTGGGGGGTCAGGGTGGGGTCAAGGAGTAGGTGGGGCCTGAATTGGGCGGGGCTGCGCTGGTGGGCGTGGCCTTTATGGGCTGGCTGGGTCTGTGAATGGGCGGGGCTTGCAGAAAATGGGCGTGGCCTGGATGGGCGTGGTCTGGAGTGTTTATGAGGGCTACTGGTGGGTGTGGCTTAAAGAGGGTGGGTGTGGCGTCAGTGAGCAGGGCAGATGGGTGTGGCCTGAGTGGGTGTGGCTTGTCTGAGTGGGTGTGTCCAGGGGACACCCACTGGTGCAGGTGGTGGGCGGGGCCTGTCTTGATGGGCGTGCCCCAATGGGCGTGTCCTCCACATGGGCGTGGTCTGTTGTAGTGGGCGTGTCTGGCAATGCATTGTCTGTCATGGGAGCCATAGATCTGTGGGCGTGGCCGCTCTGGGTGGGCGTGGCCTGTCACGGGTGGGTGTGGTCTGCCCAAGTAGGAGTGGCATTTCTGAGTGGGCGTGGCCTAGAAATGGTGGGGGGTGGCTTGTACCAGTGGGCAGGGCCTGCTGGGGTGGGCGTGGCCAGTCCTGATGGGCGTGTCCTGGTGCCCCAGGCTGTGTTCAGGGGGGGTGTCAGCAGGTGGGGCCTTTCCTGGGTGGGCGTGTCCCTGTGGGCGTGTCCCATACCATGGGTGTGTCCCCTCCCCCCAAGCTGTGCTGGAGGCTGTGGGGGTGGGCGGGGCCTGTCCCAGGTGGGCGTGTCCAGGTGGACCTATCCTAACCCAATGGGCTTGTCCCAATGGGTGTGTCCCGGTGGGCGTGTCCTGATGGGTGTATCCCATCCCAGTGGGCGTGTCCCATCCCAGTGGGCGTGTCCCATCCCGGTGGGTGTGTCCTGGTGGGTGTATCCCATCCCAATGGGCGTGTCCCATCCCGGTGGGCGTGTCCTGTGGGTGGATCCCATCCCAATGGGTGGATCCCATCCCAGTGGGTGTGTCCCATGCCGGTGGGTGTGTCTCATCCTTCTGGGTGTGTCCCCTCCCCGCAGGCCATGGTGGAGGTTGTGGGGGTGGGCGGGGCCTGTCTCAGGTGGATGTGACTCCCTGGGTGTGTCCCTGTGGGCGTGTCCCGTCCCGGTGGGCGTGTCCCGGTGGGTGTGTCCTACCTCGTGGGCATGTCCCATCCCTGTGGGCATGTCCCTGTGGGCGTGTCCCATCCCTGTGGGTGTGTCCCTGTGGGCGTGTCCCAGCGGTGGGCGTGTCCCCAGGCGGTGGTGGAGGCGGTGGGGGTGGGTGTGTCCCTGTGGGTGTGTCCCTGTGGGTGTGTCCCTGTGGGCGTGTCCCTGTGGGTGTGTCCCCAGGAGGTGGAGGTGGGTGTGTCCTGGTGGGTGTGTCCCTGTGGGTGTGTCCCATCCTGGTGGGTGTGTCCCTGTGGGCGTGTCCCTGTGGGCGTGTCCCGGTGGGTGTGTCCCATCCCGGTGGGCGTGTCCCCAGGCGGTGGTGGAGGCGGTGGGGGTGGGGGTGTCCCTGTGGGTTGTGTCCCATCCCTGTGGGTGTGTCCCCATGGGTGTGTCCCACCCCGTGGGCGTCCCACGGCTCTGGGCGTGTCCCCAGGTGGTGGTGGAGGCTGTGGGTGTGGGTGTGTCCCTGTGGGTGTGTCCCTGTGGGCGTGTCCCAGCAGTGGGCGTGTCCCACTCCGTGGGCGTGTCCCCAGGCGGTGGTGGAGGCGGTGGGGGTGGGTGTGTCCCGTGGGTGTGTCCCCATGGGCGTGTCCCTGTGGGCGTGTCCCAATGCCCCGTGGGCGTGTCCCCAGGCGGTGGTGGAGGCGGTGGGGGTGGGTGTGTCCCTGGGGCGTGTCCCCATGGGCGTGTCCTGTGGGCGTGTCCCACTCGTGGGCGTGTCCCCAGGCTGGTGGAGGCGGTGGGGTGGGTGTGTCCCGTGGGTGTGTCCCCATGGGCGTGTCCCTGTGGGCGTGTCCCAATGGTGGGTGTGTCCCCAGGCGGTGGTGGAGGCAATGGGGGTGGGTGTGTCCCTGTGGGTGTGTCCCTGTGGGTGTGTCCCCTCCTGGTGGGTGTGTCCCTGTGGGTGTGTCCCTGTGGGTGTGTCCCTGTGGGCGTGTCCCATGGCTCTGGGCGTGTCCCCAGGTGGTGGTGGAGGCGGTGGGGGTGGGTGTGTCCCGGTGGGCGTGTCCCTGTGGGTGTGTCCCCATGGGTGTGTCCCTGTGGGTGTGTCCCTGTGGGCGTGTCCCACCCCGTGGGCGTGTCCCCAGGCAGTGGTGGAGGCGGTGGGTGTGGGTGTGTCCCTGTGGGCGTGTCCCATGGCTCTGGGCGTGTCCCCAGGCAGTGGTGGAGGCGGTGGGTGGGCGTGTCCCCGTGGGCGTGTCCCTGTGGGCGTGTCCCAGCGGTGGGCGTGTCCCCAGGCGGTGGTGGAGGCAGTGGGGGTGGGTGTGTCCCTGTGGGCGTGTCCCACCCCGTGGGCGTGTCCCCAGGCGGTGGTGGAGGCGGTGGGGGGTGGGTGTGTCCCTGTGGGTGTGTCCCGGTGGGTGTGTCCCAGTGGGCGTGTCCCTGTGGGTGTGTCCCATCCTGGTGGGTGTGTCCCCGTGGGTGTGTCCCTGTGGGCGTGTCCCGGTGGGCGTGTCCCACCCCATGGGCGTGTCCCCAGGCGGTGGTGGAGGCCGTGGACAATCTGCTGCGCCCGGAGGCGCTGGAGTCGTGGCGGGACATGAACGGCTCAGAGCAGGCTCACACGGCCACGATGCTGCTGGACGTGCTGGAGGAGGGAGCCTTCCTGCTGGCCGACAACGTCAAGGAGCCCGCCCGCTTCCTGGCGGCCCGGCAGAACCTGGGTCAGACCCCAGAGACCCCTGAGAGACCCCCAAATACCCCCAAACCCATCCCTGCAACCCCCACCTGCTTCCTGGCGGCCCGGCAGAACCTGGGTCAGACCCCAGAGACCCCTGAGAGACCCCCCAAACACCCCTAAATACCTTCAAAACAATCCCTGCAACCCCCACCCGCTTCCTGGCGGCCCGGCAGAACCTGGGTCAGACCCCAGAGACCCCCCAATCACCACCAAATACCCCCAAACAATCCCTGGGACCCCCAAACCCATCCCTGCAACCGCTGTGCACTTCATGGTGGCCCAGCAGAACCTGGGTCAGCCCCCGGAGACCCCTGAGAGACCCCCCAAATACCCCAAACCCCTCCCTGGGTGTCCCTTCCCTCCCCCACCCCCAACCCCTCCCCCTGTTGGTCACGTGTGTGTGTGTGTGTGACACGTGTGTGTGACCTGTGCTGGGTGTGACGTGTGTGTGTGTGTGTGTGTGTGTGAGTGTGTGACGTGTGTGTGTGTGACACATGTCCATGGTATGACACACCCATGACACACACATGTCCAGTGTATGACACACACATGTCCATTGTATGACACACACATGTCCATTGTATGACACACACGTGTCCATTGTATGACACACACATGTCCATTGTATGACACACACATGTCCATTGTATGACACACCCATGACACACCCATGTCCATGGTATGACACACCCATGACACACCCATGTCCATGGTATGACACACCCATGACACACACGTGTCCATGGTATGACACACACGTGTCCTGCAGTGCTGGAGGTGTCGGTGTCACCAAATGCTGGGGGACACGAGCCAGGGCGATGCTTTAATTCTCCATTTATTGCTTCAGTAGCACTGCTCATCAGGGAGCCCCTGGTGGTCTAGGGGGTAAAGGCGCCGCGCTGTCACCGCGGAGACCCGGGTTCGATTCCCAGTCAGGGCCACTCCCGGGCAGGTGGAGCTCGTTAGCCCTTAAAGGCAACCCACCTACGTCCTGAGGACCTCGCTGCCACCGTCCAAGCTCGCTTGGCCCCGGCAGATGAACCTTAGGATTAAAGGGTGGGCTCAGTTCCGCGCACACTGTGTCTCACCTAAAAAATCCAATGCGCAGGCTGGAAGGTGGAAAGACCTTCCCCGGATCTTCGCTCGCGAAGACTGGCCATTATTATTAGCACTGCTCATCTACGTTACAATCTACACTTGTGAAGTTCTGGTTGGCCCACATGAGTTGTTTTCTACAGAATCAATTGGTTGTAGAGAACAAAGAAACTCACTGTGATTGGTTAAAACTCTTAGCAACACACAATTTGAGTAGGATAAACAACAGAGTATGCTACGTATTTTAAGGCCATAAATGTCAGTCTCTAAACATAAACATCCTTAAAGAAGAGCAGACTCTTCTTGTCCTTCCTCCTTATCTCCAGGACGGCTTCATCCCGTGCCCTTGTCTGTGTATCAGTCTGCTCTCTGTGTCACTTGCAGAGCATCTGCAGCTTCCTGACCTCGGTCACGTAACCATCCTCGAGCGAGGCTCTGCACTCAGTGCTGGGCACTGAGGGGCTGCTGTGTGACACATGTGACACATGTTCAGTGTATGACACACACATGTTCACTGTATGACACTCACATGTCCCTGCAGTGCTGGAGGTGTCGGTGCCGAGCACGGAGGGGCCGCTGTGTGTGTGTGTGTGTGTGTGTATGACACATGTATGACACTCACATGTATGACACACACATGTCCATTGTATGTCCCTGCAGTGCTGGAGGTGTCGGTGCTGAGCACGGAGGGGCCGCTGCAGGAGCTCGTGTGTGTGTGTGTGTGACACATGTTCAGTGTATGACACACACATGTATGACACACACATGTTCAGTGTATGACACACACATGTATGACACACACATGTTCAGTGTATGACACATGTATGACACATGTATGACACACACATGTATGACACACACATGTCCATTGTATGTCCCTGCAGTGCTGGAGGTGTCGGTGCTGAGCACGGAGGGGCTGCTGTGTGACACATGTGACACATGTTCAGTGTATGACACACACGTATGACACACACATGTATGACACACACATGTTCAGTGTATGACACACACATGTCCATTGTATGTCTCTGCAGTGCTGGAGGTGTCAGTGCTGAGCACGGAGGGGCCGCTGCAGGAGCTCGTGTGTGTGTGTGTGTGACACATGTATGACACTCACATGTATGACACATGTATGACACTCACATGTTCAGTGTATGACACTCACATGTTCCCTGCAGTGCTGGAGGTGTCAGTGCTGAGCACGGAGGGGCCGCTGCAGGAGCTCGTGTGTGTGTGTGTGACACATGTATGACACATGTATGACACATGTATGACACACACATGTTCAGTGTATGACACTCACATGTTCAGTGTATGACACATGTATGACACACACATGTATGACACTCACATGTTCCATGTTTCCTGCAGTGCTGGAGGTGTCGGTGCTGAGCACGGAGGGGCCGCTGCAGGAGCTCGTGTGTGTGTGTGACACATGTATGACACTCACATGTTCAGTGTATGACACACACACATGTTCCATGTTCCCTGCAGTGCTGGAGGTGTCAGTGCTGAGCACGGAGGGGCCGCTGCAGGAGCTCGTGTTCCCACAGGAGTTGGGGGGCGATGGTTCCATCCAGCTCTCGGCCAGCACCCTCAAACAGAACAGCAGGAACGGTGAGGGGGGGCTGGGGGGTCATGGGAGGTTCTGGGGGCACCCAAAACACCTCAAACAGAACAGCAGGAACGGTGAGGGGGTTGGGGGCTGGGGGTTTGGGGTCTGGGGGTTTGGGGTCACCTCAAACAGAACAGCAGGAACGGTGAGGGGGCTGGGGGCTGGGGGTCCCTGGGGATTTGGGGGTCTGGGGGTACCCAAAACACCTCAAACAGAACAGCAGGAACGGTGAGGGGGCTGGGGGGCTTGGGGGTACCTGGGGGTCCCTGGGGTCCTGGGGGGTTCTGGGGGCACCCAAAACACCTCAAACAGAACAGCAGGAACAGGGAGGGGGGTTGGGCAGGGGGGGTGTCCTGAGAGATTTAGGGGTGTCCCTGAGGGGTTTGGGGGTCTCTGCAGGGGTGGTGAAGGTGTTTGGGGGGTTTTTGGGGTCTCTGCAGGGGTGGTGAAGGTGTTTTGGGGTTTTGGGGTGTCCCTGAGGTGTTTTGGGGTGCCCACAGGGGTGGTGAAGGTGTTTTGGGGTGCCCACAGGGGTGGTGAAGGTGTTTTGGGGGGTTTTGGGGTGTCCCTGAGGTGTTTTGGGGTGCCCACAGGGGTGGTGAAGGTCGTGTTCATCCTGTACAACAACCTGGGGCTGTTCCTGCCCACGGAGAATGCCACGGTTCGCCTGGGGGGGGAGGGGGGGCCCCGCGCCCCCCAACTCGTCGTCAACTCCCAGGTCATCGCGGCCTCCATCAACAAAGAGTCCAGCAGGGTCTTCCTGCGGGACCCCGTGGTGTTCACCCTGCCCCACCTCGAGGTGAGACCCCAAAAACACACCTGGACACCCCAAAACCAACCCAGACCCCCCCAAACTCACCCAGACCCCCCAAAGTCACCCAGACCCCGTGGTGTTCACCCTGCCCCACCTCGAGGTGAGACCCCAAAACACCCACCTGGACCCCCACAAACACACCTGGACCCCCAAAAACCCACCCAGAGCCCCAAAAACACACCGAGACCCCCCAAATCCCACTCAGAGCCCCAGAAACCCTCAGACCCCGTGGTCTTCACCCTGCCCCACCTCGAGGTGAGACCCCAAAAACACACCCAGAGCCCCAAAAACCAACCCAGACCCCCCAAATCCCATCCAGACCCCAAAAACCCCCTCAGACCCCGTGGTGTTCACCCTGCCCCACCTCGAGGTGAGACCCCAAAACCCCCACAAACACACCTGGCCCCCCAAAAACCCACCCAGATCCCCATAAAACACCCACCCAGAGGCCAAAAAACCTACACAGATCCAAAGAAACCCACCCAGAGCCCCCCAAATCCCACCCAGAGCCCCCCAAACCCCCCGCCCCTGAGCCCAAACCCCCCAGACCCCCAGAGGACCCTCCTGTTTTCCTCCCAACCCCAAAAGCCACTTTGGGGCCGACTGTTCCTTCTGGAATTACCGGGATTGGGATCCTCTCCTGTCCTTGGGACCCTCCCCAGCCCTGAGACCCCCTGGGACCCCTGAGACCCCCCTGGGACCCTCTGAGACCCCCTGGGACCCCTGAGACCCCCTGAGACCCCCTGAGACCCCTCTGGGACCCTCTGAGACCCCCAGGAGCCCCCTGAGACCCCCCTGACCCCCCCTTTCTGCCCCCCCAGACCAAGAACCACTTTGGGGCCAACTGTTCCTTCTGGAATTACTCGGAGCGCTCCATGGCCGGGCACTGGTCGAGCCAGGGCTGTCGCCTCCTGCGCTCCAACGGCACCCACAGCTCGTGTCCCTGCTCACACCTCACCAACTTCGCCCTGCTCATGGCCAGGAGGCAGACTGTGAGTCACCTGAGACACCTGGGGACACCTGGGCACACCTGGGCACACCTGGTATACACCTACACCCACCTGGGACACACCCACACACACCTGGGACACCCCCACAGCTCGTGTGCCTGCTCACACCTCACCAACTTCGCCCTGCTCATGGCCAGGAGGCAGACTGTGAGTCACCTGAGACACCTGGGCACACCTGGGCACACCTGGGGATACCTGGGGACACCTGGGGACACAAAAACACACCCACACCCACCTGGGACACACCCACAGCTCGTGTGCCTGCTCACACCTCACCAACTTCGCCCTGCTCATGGCCAGGAGGCAGACTGTGAGTCACCTGAGACACCTGGGGACACCCCCACCACACACCTGGGGACACCTGGGATCCACCTGGGGGCACCCAAATACAACCACACACACACCTGGGGGCACCCAAACACACCTGGGCACACCCAAACACACCTGGGCACACCCACACACTTGGGCACAGCTGGGCACACCCACACACACACCTGGGCACACCTGAGGGCACCCAAACACACCTGGATACACCCACCCACACACCTGGGCACACCTGGGCACACCCAAACACACCTGGGCACACCCACACACCTGGGCACACCTGGGCACACCCAAACACACACCTGGGCACACCCAAACACACACCTGGACACACCTGGGCACACCTGGGCACACCCAAACACACACCTGGGCACACCTGGGCACACCCACAGCTCCTGCTCCCCCCTCCCCCATTCTGGCCCCGCCCCCCAGCACGGAGGCAGAGCCGGGGGTGGGGGAGGGGCACCAGGGGACCCCAACCCTCCCCTCCCCCCTCAGCATTCCTGGTTTTCCCACCTTTCCCCCCTTTCCCGGGGCTGCCGAGCCCTCCTGGAGGAGCCTCTGGGGACCCCCGGGCCGGGCCCTGCTGGGACCCCTGAGCTGGGAGACCCCAAAGCCCCCAGACCCCTCATCCCAGCCCATTTTTCCCCATTTTTCCCCATTTTTTTCCCATTTTTCCCCATTTATCCCCATTTTCCCGGTTTCCCTGCAGTTCCCAGGCCGGTTTAACGAGGTGCTGCTGTCAGTGATCACCTGGGCAGGTCCCTGGTGGCCCTGCTGTGCCTGTCCCTGGGTCTGGCTGACCCCAAACCCCCCAGACCCCTAATCCCACCCCATAATTCCCATTTTTTTCCCCATTTTTCCTGTTTCCCCGCAGTTCCCAGGCCGGTTTAACGAGGTGCTGCTGTCGGTGATCACCTGGGCAGGGATCCTGGTGGTCCTGCCGTGCCTGTCCCTGGGCCTGGCTGACCCCAAACCCCCCAAACCCCTGATCCCACCCCAGAATTCCCATTTTTTTCCCATTTTCCTGGTTTTTCCCCGCAGTTCCCAGGCCGGTTTAACGAGGTGCTGCTGTCGGTGATCACCTGGGCAGGGATCCTGGTGGCCCTGCTGTGCCTGGGCCTGTCCATCTCCGCCTTCTGCTGCCTGCGGGGGCTGCCCCCCGAGCGCACGACCATCCACAAGAACCTCTGCATCTCCCTCTTCCTGGCCGAGCTGCTCTTCCTCGTCGGCATCGACAAGACGCACTACCAGGTGAGGGGGCACCTGGGGAGGGGCCTGGGGGCACCTGGGGCCACCAGAACTCACCTGGGACCACCAAGGCTCACCTGGGGAGGGGCCTGGGGTCACCTGGGGCCACCAGAACTCACCTGGGACCACCCAGAGCTCACCTGGGGAGGGGCCTGGGATCACCTGGGACCACCCAGAGCTCACCTGGGGAGGGGCCTGGGCTCACCTGGGGCCACCAGGGCTCACCTGGGACCACCAGGACACACCTGAGGATGGGTCTGGCATCACCTGGGACATCCCAGAGCTCACCTGGGACCACCAGGACACATCTGGGGCCACCAGGACACACCTGAGACATCCCAGGACACACCTGGGGCCACCAGGACACCCCAGGGAGGGGCCTGGGATCACCTGGGGCCACCAGGGCTCCCCTGGGACCACCAGAACTCACCTGGGACCACCAGGACACACCTGGGGAGGGGTCTGGGATCACCTGGGACCACCAGGGCACACCTGAGACTACCAGGGAGGTGTCTGGGATCACCTGGGACCCCCCAGAGCTCATCTGGGACCCCCAGGGCTCACCTGGGACATCCCAGGACACACTTGGGACCCCCTAGAGCTCACTTGGGACCACCAGGGAGGGGCCTGGGCTCACCTGAGACCCCCCCAGCTCACCTGGGACCACCAGGGCTCATCTGGGACCCCTCAGGACACACCTGGGACCACCAGGACACCCCAGGGAGGAGTCTGGGCTCACCTGGGACATCCCAGGACACCCCAGGGACCTTGTCCCTGTCCCCAGGTGTCCGGTCCCATCTCTGGGGTGTCCCCAGGGTGTCCCTGTCCCATCTTTGGAGGTCCCCAATGTCCCTGTCCCCAGTGTCCCCAATGTCCCTGTCCCCAGTGTCCCTGTCCCTGTCCCATGTCCCCAATGTCCCCATGTCCCTGTCCCCGTGTCCCCAGGGTGTCCCTGTCCCAGTGTCCCCAATGTCCCTGTCCCAGTGTCCCCAATGTCCCTGTCCCTGTCCCCATGTCCCTGTCCCTGTCCGCATGTCCCTAATGTCCCTGTCCCTACTGTCTCTGTCCCCAGTGTCCCTGTCCCTGTTCCATGTCTGGGTGTCCCCAATGTCCCCATGTCCCTGTCCCTGTGTCCCCAGGTGTCTCTGTCCCATTTCTGGGTGTCTCAGTGTCCCTGTCCCCAGTGTCCCCAATATCCCCAATGTCCCCATGTCCCCAGCTGTCCCTGTCCCATCTCTGGGTGTCCCCAATGATGTCCCCGTGTCCCCAATGATGTCCCCATGTCCCCAGGTGTCCCTGTCCCTTCTCTGGGTGTCCCCAATGTCCCCAGTGTCCCAGTGTCCCTGTCCCCAATGTCCCCAGGTGGCGTGTCCCATCTCTGGGTGTCCCCAATGATGTCCCCGTGTCCCCAGGTGGCGTGTCCCATCTCTGGGTGTCCCCAATGTCCCCAGTGATGTCCCCAGTGATGTCCCCAGAGATGTCCCCGTGTCCCCAGGTGGCGTGTCCCATCTTTGCTGGGCTCCTGCACTATTTTTTCCTGGCGTCGTTCTCGTGGCTGTGCCTGGAGGGGGTTCACCTGTACCTGTCCCCAGTGTCCCCAATGTCCCCAATGATGTCCCCAATGTCCCCAGTGATGTCCCCAATGATGTCCCCGTGTCCCCAGGTGGCGTGTCCCATCTTCGCGGGTCTCCTGCACTATTTTTTCCTGGCGTCGTTCTCGTGGCTGTGCCTGGAGGGGGTTCACCTGTACCTGTCCCCAGTGTCCCCAATGTCCCCAATGATGTCCCCAATGTCCCCAGTGATGTCCCCAATGATGTCCCCATGTCCCCAGGTGGCGTGTCCCATCTTCGCGGGTCTCCTGCACTATTTTTTCCTGGCGTCGTTCTCGTGGCTGTGCCTGGAGGGGGTTCACCTGTACCTGCTGCTGCTGGAGGTGCTGGAGGGGGGTCCCGGCCGCCGCCGCTGTCTCTACGCGGGCGGGTATTTCTTCCCCGCCGTCGTCGTCGCCGTGGCCGCCGCCGTCGATCACCGGAGCTACGGGACCGAGACCGCGTGAGGACACCGGGAGGGACAGGGGGAGGGAGGGGAGGGAGGGAGGAGGGGGATGGGTTTGGGAAAGGGAGGGATTTGGGGAAGGGGGTTTAGGAAAAGGGTTTGGGAGGGGGAGAGCTTAGGGAAGGAGGGGGCTGAAATGGGGAGGGGCTTGGGAGGGGATGAGTTTGTGGAAGGGGAGGGGTTGGGGAAGGGGGTTTAGGGAAAGGGGAGGGGTTTGGGGAAGGGGAGGGGTTTGGGAAAGGGGAGGGGTTGGGAACAGGGTAGGGGTTTGGAAGGGGAGGGGTTTGGAAAAGGGGAGGGTTTGGAACGGGGAGGAGGGGTTTAGGAAGGAGGAGGGGGTTGGGGAAGGGGTGAAATGGGGAGGGGTTTGGGAGGGGATGAGTTTGTGGAAGGAGGGGTTGGGGAAGGCGGTTTAGGGAAAGGAGGGGTTTGGGAAAGGGGAGGGGTTTGGGAAAGGGAGGGGTTGGGAAAGGGAGGGTTTGGGAACAGGGTAGGGAGGGGCTTAGGAAGGAGGAGGGGTTGGGGAAGGGATTTGGGAAGGGGTTTAGGGGAAGGGAAGGGGTTTAGAGGGGAGGGGCTTGGGAAGGGAGGGTTTGGGGAAAGGGGAGGGGTTTGGGGAGGAGCTTAAAGAGGGAGGGGCTTGTGAAAGGGGAGGGGTTTGGGGATGGGGAAGGGGTTTGGGAAAGGGAGAGATTTGGGAAGAGGGTTTAGGGAAAGGGGAGGGGTTGGGGAAAGGGGAGGATCTGGGGAAAGGGGAGGGATTTGGGAAGGGGAGGGTTTGAGAAAGGAGGGGGCTGGAAGGGAGGGGTTTGGGAAAGGGAGGGGTTGGGGAAAGGAGGGGTTTGGGAAGGGTAGGGGAAAGGGGAGGGGTTTTTGAAAGGGAGGGGTCTGTGGATGGGGAGGGGTTTGGGAAGAGGGATTTGGGGTTTGGGAGGGGAGGGGTTTGGGGAAGGGGAGGGGTTTCAGAAGGAGGGGTTTAGGGAGGGGTTTGGGTTTGGGGAAGGGGTTTGGGTTTGGGAATGGGAGGAGTGTGGGGAGGGGTTTGGGTTTGGGAATGGGAGGAGTTTGGGGAGGGGTTTAGGGATGGAGAGGGGTTTTGGGGAAGGGGATTTGGGGAAGGGAGTTTAGGGAAAGGGAGGGGTTTGGAAAAAGGGGAGGGGTTTGGGAAAGGGGAGAGGTTTGGGGAGGGAGGGGTTTCAGAAGGGGAGGGATTTGAGCAAGGGGAGGGGTTTGGGGAGGGGTTTGAGTTTGGGGAAGGGGAGGGGCTTGAGATGGGCGGGGTTCGGGAGGGGCGGGGTTTGGGGAGGGGCGGGGTTTCAGGCAGAGCCGAGGGCTTGAAACCAGAGGGTGGAGCCCTGGGGGTGGAGTCTGAGCTCAATGGGCGGGGCTTAAGAGCAGGGGGTGGGGTCTGCATTTGGGGGTGTGGCCTGAGCTCTGGGGGTGGAGCTTGAGAAAAGGGGGTGGGGTCTCAGTTCTAGGGGGTCTGAGCCCTGGGGGTGGGGTCTGAGCCCTGGGGGTGGGGTCTGAGCTCTGGGGGTGGGGTCTGAGCCCTGGGGGTGAGGTCTGAGCTCTGGGGTGGGGTCTGAGCTCTGGGGGTGGGGTCTGAGCTCTGGGGGTGGGGTCTGAGCTCTGGGGTGGGGTCTGAGCCCTGGGGGTGGGGTCTGAGCTCTGGGGGTGGGGTCTGAGCTCTGGGAGTGGGCGTGTCCTGCTGACGCCCTGCCCCCAGGTGCTGGCTGCGGGTGGACAATTATTTCATCTGGAGCTTCATCGGCCCCGTGGCCTTCGTCATTCTCGCACGGGGGCTTTGGGGGCTGGGGGCTTCGCCATCCTCGTACAGGGGGCTGGGGGCCTCGGGGGCCTGGGGGCTTCGTCATCCTCGTACAAGGGGCTTTGGGGGCTGGGGGCTTCGTCATCCTCGCACGTGGGGATTTGGGTGACTTGGGGAGGGCAGGGGACCCATTTCGGATTTGGGGGTCCTACCATGAGTGGGGGGGTTCCCCCCGCGGGTCTGGGGTCCCAGAGGGTCCCGGGGGGGGGTCAGTGAGTGGGGGTCCCGCAGGTGACCCTGGTGTGGGTCTGGGGTCCCGGGGGAGTCCCTGAGCAGGTCTGGGGTCCCACAGGTGACCCTGGTGTTCCTGCTGTGGGTTTTGGGGTCTCTCTGTGGGCCTGGGGGTCTCAGGGGGGTCTCTCTGTGGGTCTGGGAGTCCTTGAGTGGGTCTGGGGTCCCGCAGGTGACCCTGGTGTTCCTGCTGTGGGTCTGGGGGTCTCTCTGTGGGTCTGGGGGTCTCAGGGGGTCTCTCTGTGGGTCTGGGGGTCTCAGGGGGTCTCTCTGTGGGTCTGGGGGTGTCCCTGAGTGGGTCTGGGGTCCCGCAGGTGACCCTGGTGTTCCTGCTGTGGATTTGGGGGTCTCTGTGTGGATTTGGGGGGGTCCCTGAGTGGGTCTGGGGTCCCGGGGGGGTCCCTGAGTGGGTCTGGGGTCCCGCAGGTGACCCTGGTGTTCCTGCTGTGGGTCTGGGGGTCCCAGGGGGTTCTCAGGGGGGTCTGGGGGTCCCTGAGTGGGTCTGGGGTCCCACAGGTGACCCTGGTGTTCCTGCTGTGGGTCTGGGGGTCCCAGGGGTTCTCAGTGGGGTCTGGGGGTCCCTGAGTGGGTCTGGGGTCCCACAGGTGACCCTGGTGTTCCTGCTGGTGACGCTGCACAAGATGCTTCGCAGCTCGGCCGCCCTCAAACCCGACTCCTCTCGCCTGGACAGCATCAGGTGGGGGGACCCCAAAAAGGACCCCAGAACAGGGGAGGGACCCCCAGACTGGGCAGAAATGGGGGGGGACCTCAAAAAGGGCCCCCAGAACGGGGGAGGGACCCCCAGACTGGGCAGAAATGGTGGGGGGACCCCAAAAAGGGTCCCCAGACGGGGAGAGGGACCCCCAAACTGGGCAGAAATGGGGGGGGGACCCCAAAAAGGGCCCCCAGAACAGGGGAGGGACCCCCAGACCGGGCAGAAATGGGGGACCCTAAAGGGCCCCCAGAACGGGGGAGGGACCCCCAGACTGGGCAGAAATGGGGGGGGGGGGACACCAAAAAGGGCCCCCAGAATGGGGGAGGGACCCCCAGACTGGGCAGGAGGGACCCAGAAATGGGGGGATCCCAGTCCCTCCCAGTGCCCCCAGTGCCCCCTGGGGGCCATCACGCTGCTCCCATTCCCATCCCAATCCCCTCCCAGTTCCCCCCAGTCCCTGCCAATCCCATCCCAGTCCCTCCCAGTCCCTCCCTCCCCATCCCAGGCTCTGGGGGCCATCGCGCTGCTGCTGCTGCTGGGGCTCCCAATCCCATCCCAATCCCCTCCCAGTCCCTCCCAGTCCCTCCCAGTGCCCCCAGTTTGATCTGGTGCCCCCCAGGTCGTGGGCCCTGGGGGCCATCGCGCTGCTGCTGCTGCTGGGGATGCCAATCCCATCCCAGTCCCATCCCAGTCCCTCCCAGTGCCCCCGATCCCTCCCAGTGCCCCCAGTGCCCCCAATCCCCTCCCAGTGCCCCCAGTGCCCCCAATCCCTCCCAGTGCCCCCAGTTTGATCTGGTGCCCGCAGGTCATGGGCCCTGGGGGCCATCGCTGCTGCTGCTGCTGCTGCTGGGCTCCCAATCCCATCCCAGTCCCATCCCAGTCCCATCCCAGTCCCTCCCAGTCCCTCCCAGTGCCCCCATCCTCCCAGTGCCCCCAATCCCTCCCAGTGCCCCCCAGTGCCCCCAGTTTGATCTGGTGCCCCCCAGGTCGTGGGCCCTGGGGGCCATCGCGCTGCTGCTGCTGCTGGGGCTCACCTGGGCCTTCGGGCTGCTCTTCGTGACGCGGGAGTCGCTGCTGACGGCGTCGCTGTTCACGGCCTGCAACGCCCTGCAGGGCACCTTCATCTTCCTCTTCCACTGCGCCCTCCAGAAGAAGGTGGGGCTGGGGGCACTGGGGGCACTGGGAGGGACTGGGGGGCACTGGGAGGGACTGGGAGGGCACTATGGGGGCACCTTCATCTTCCTCTTCCACTGCGCCCTCCAGAAGAAGGTGGGGCTGGGGCACTGGGGCACTGGGAGGGATTGGGGGCACTGGGAGGGATTGGGGGCACTGGGAGGGATTGGGGGGCACTGGGAGGGGATTGGGGGCACTATGGGGGCACCTTCATCTTCCTCTTCCACTGCGCCCTCCAGAAGAAGGTGCGCAGACTGGAGGCACTGGGGGCACTGGGGGGGCACTGGGAGGGATTGGGGGCACTGGGAGGATTGGGGGCACTGGGAGGGAACTGGGGGCACTGGGAACCCCCAGGGACTGTGAATGGGGGTCACTTTGGGGGCACCTTCATCTTCCTCTTCCACTGCGCCCTCCAGAAGAAGGTGGGGCAAACTGGGAGGCACTGGGAGGGACTGGGAGGGATTGGGGGCACTGGGAGGGACTGGGAGGGATTGGGGGACACTGGGAGGGATTGGGGAGAGCACTGGGAGGGACTGGGAGGGACTGGGAGGGATTGGGGGCACTGGGAGGGACTGGGAGGGATTGGGGGGCACTGGGAGGGGATTGGGGGCACTGGGAGGGACTGGGGGGCACTGGGAGGCACTGGGAGGGACTGGGAGGGGACTGGGAGGGACTGGGAGGGGATTGGGGGGCACTGGGAGGGACTGGGAGAGGACTGGGGGGCACTGGGAGGGCACTGAGGGGGCACCTCCATCTTTCTCTTCCTCTGGACGCCTGTTACTGGAGGTTACTGGGATATACTGGGATGTACTGGGAGGGACTGGGCTGTACTGGAAGATTACTGTGATGTTACTGGGAGGTCACTGGCCTGTACTGGTCTATACTGGGATGTTACTGGTCTGTACTTGGTGGTTACTGGGTGGATACTGGAAGGTTACTGGTCTGTACTGGGAGGTTACTGGAAGCTTACTGGTCTGTATTGGGCTGTACGGGTCTGTGCTGGTCTATACTGGGAGGTTACTGGGCTGTACTGGGATGCTACTGGCCTGTACTGGGAGGTTACTGGAAGCTTACTGGTCTGTATTGGGCTGTACTGGTCTATAGTGGGAGGTTACTGGTCTGTGCTGGGAGGTTACTGGAAGGTTACTGGACTGTACTGGTCTATACTGGTCTGTACTGGTCTGTACTGGTCTGTACTGGTCTATACTGGTCTGTACTGGTCTGTACTGGTCTATACTAGTCTATACCGGTCTGTACTGGTCTGTACTGCTCTATACTGGTCTATACTGGTCCGTATTGGTCTGTACTGGTCTGTACTGGTCTGTACTGGTCTACACTGGTGTGTACTGGTCTGTACTGGTCGATACTGGTCTGTACTGGTCTGTACTGGTCTATACTGATCTATACTGGTCTGTACTGGTTTATACTGGTCTGTACTGGTCTGTACTGGTATGTTTAACCCCAGGTGCACCGGGAGCTGACCAAGTGCCTGCGGCACTCGGGGTGTTGGGGCACTGGGGGTTACTGGTGTACTGGTCTATACTGGTCTGTGTCCCCCAGGTGCACCGGGAGCTGACCAAGTGCCTGCGGCACTCGGGGTGTTGGGGGCACTGGGGGTTACTGGGTTGTACTGGTCTATACTGATCTATACTGGTCTGTACTGGTCTATACTGATCTATACTGGTCTGTACTGGTCTGTACTGGTCCATACTGGTATGTTTAACCCCCAGGTGCACCGGGAGCTGACCAAGTGCCTGCGGCACTCGGGGTGCTGCCTGAGGGGCCCCCCCGGGACCTCCCTGGGGGCCCTGAAACCCTCGGCGGGCCGGGCCCACCCCCGATACTACAGCGGGACTCAGGTGGGACCCCCGGGACCCCCAAACTCCCTGAGCCCCCCAAAACACCCCTGAGCCCCCTGACCCACCCACTGCACCCCTAAACCCCTGAAACCCTTGGCGGCCGCGCCATCCTCGATACTACAGCGGGACTCAGGTGGGACCCCAAACCCCTGAGCCCCCCAAAACACCCCTGACCCCCCTGAGCCCCCCAAACCACCCTGAACCCCCAAACCCACCCACTGCACCCCAAACCCCTGAACCCCCCACCCTCGATACTACAGCAGGGACTCAGGTGGGACCCTGAGACCCCTGACCCCCCTGAGCCCCCCCAAACACCCCCTGAGCCCCCTGACCCACCCCTGAGCCCCCAAACCCCCCTGAGCCCCCTAAACCACCCACTGACCCCAAACCCCCTGAACCTCCCCTGAGCCCCCGAGACTACCTACAGCTGGGACTCCAGGCCCTGAGCCCCCTAAACCCCCTGAGCCCCTGACCCTGAGCCCACTGAGCCCCCTGAGCACCCCAGACCCCCTGAGCCCCCCCCAAACTACCCCTGATCCTGACCTCTGAGACCACCCGATATGACCCCAAGCACCCCTGAGCCCCACCCTCTGAGCCCCCAAAACCCCCTGACCCCCTGGACCCAACCCACTGCACCCCAAACCCCCTGAACCTGCCCACCCCTGATACTGCAGCGGGACTCAGGTGGGACCCCCAGACTCTCCAAACCTTCCTGAGCCCCCACGGCACCTCAAACCCCCTGAGCCCCCAAACCCTCCTGAGCCCCTCAAACCTCCCTGACCCTGACCCCCCTGTGCTCCCCAAACCCACCCACTCGGGAAGGGTGTCCAGGGGGACTGGGGGCTGGAGTGCTTTGGGGTCTCAGGTGCGTCTGTGGATGTTTGGGGAGGGGCCTGGGGTGAATGGGGATGGTTTGGGGGTTTTAAGGGGGTTTGGGGGTCTGGGGTGTTTGGGGGTCTGGGGGTGATTTGGGAGGTTCCAGGGTGTCTGGGGGTGGTCTGGGGGTGTTTGGGGGTTCAGGAGGTGTTTTGGGACCGGTCAGGGGTCTGGGGTGATTGGGGGGTCTGGGTGTTTGGGGGCTGTTTGGGGGTCTGGGGCTTTGGGGACCTTGGGAGGTGATTTGGGGGTCTGGGATGTTTGGGGTGGTTCACAGGGTGTTTTGGGGTCTGGGGTGTTTTGGGGCGTTCATGAGGGTGTTTTGGGGCCAGTCAGGGGTGTTTAGGTAGGGGTCTGGGGTGTTTGGGGGGTCTGGGTGTTTGGGCCGGTCAGGGGTGTTTGGAGGGTCTGGGGTGTTTGGGGGGTCTGGGTGTTTGGGCCAGTCAGGGGTCCCAGCCCCCTTTGCCCCCCAGAGCCGGATCCGCAGGATGTGGAACGACACCGTCCGGAAACAAACGGAGTCCAGCTTATGGGGGGACCTGAACAGCACCCCCACCCTCAACAGAGGTGAGACTCCCCAAAAACCCCCTGAGACCCCCAAAACCCCTGAACAGCACCCCCACCCTGAACCGAGGTGAGACCCCCAAAACCACCCTGAGACCCCCAAAACCCCCTGAACAGCACCCCCACCCTGAACCGAGGTGAGACCCCCAAAAACACCCTGAGACCCCCTGAACAGCACCCCCACACCCCCACCTCTGAACCGAGGTGAGACCCCCTGAGACCCCCTAAAACCCCCTGAACAGCACCCCCACTCCTGAACCGAGGTGAGACCTCCCAAAAACACCCTGAACAGCACCCCATCCTGAACCGAGGTGAGACCCCCAAAAACACCCTGAGACCCCTGAACAGCACCCCCACCCTGAACCGAGGTGAGACCCCAAAAACACCCTGAGACCCCCTGAACAGCACTCCCACCCTGAACCGAGGTGAGACCCCCAAAACCCACTGAGACCCCCAAAACCTCCCTGAACAGCACCCCCACCCTCAACAGCACCCCCACCCTCAACAGAGGTGAGACCCCCAAACACCCTGAGACCCCCTGAACAGCACCCCCACCCTGAACCGAGGTGAGACTCCCTGAGACCCCCCAAAACCCCTGAACAGCACCCCTACCCTGAACCGAGGTGAGACCCCCTGAGACCCCAAAAACCACCCTGAACAGCACCCCCACTCTGAACCGAGGTGAGACCCCCTGAGACCCCTCAAAACCACCCTGAACAGCACCCCCACCCTGAACCGAGGTGAGACCCCTGAGACCCCCTAAAACCCCTGAACAGCACCCCCACCCTCAACAGAGGTGAGACCCCCAAAAACACCTGAGACCCCTAAACCCCCTGAACAGCACCCCCACCCTGAACAGAGGTGAGACCCCCCAAAAACACCCTGAACAGCACCCCACCCTGAACAGAGGTGAGACCCCCCAAAAACACCCTGAGACCCCCTGAACAGCACCCCCACCCTGAACCGAGGTGAGACCCCAAAACACCCTGAGACCCCCAAAATCACCCTGAACAGCACCCCCACCTCTACAGAGGTGAGACCCCCAAAAACTGCCCTAAGCCCCCCATAAACCTCCCTGAGCAGCACCCCCACCCTGAACCGAGGTGAGACCCCCAAAAACCTCCCTGAGACCCCCAAAACCTCCCTAAGCCCCCCCAAAAACCTCCCTGAACAGCACCCCCCCTGCTGCCCCCAGAAAGGCAGATAAGAAGTGCTTGGGGTGAGAGTTTTACACCTTTAAAGAGCAGGTTTTTATTGAACTCCCCGGCTCGGGCTGGGCAGAACGAGCTCAGGCAAGGACAGGTGATTTATACATATATATTTATATATATTTATATATACATTTCTGTATAAACATTTCTGTGATTACAGCACACACATCGATATTAGTGCATTATCAGATTACAATACCCACAGCAGGCGGAGTCAGGGCGGGTTTTAAGGCGTGGTCTTCATTTTGGGGAATGATCTGTGGTACCTCCGGTCTTTACTTCATGGGGGGGTCTCAGATTTACTCCTCTTGGTCGGTGACCTCCTGAACTTTCCCCTGTTTGGTGTTGTGTTCGCTGGGGCTCGGGGAGAGCCTCGGTCCAGGCCTGTTTTACACATTCCAGTGTCTGCCCTGGCTCACCTGGCTGTAATTTATGATCCCTGAGCTCTTTGTGTGACGTTCCTGTGGGGTTTTCAGGTCTGCTGGGTTTGTACAGAACGAGATTTCCTCTGAGAGAGGGAAAAAAGGGGGGGGGGGAGAAAAGAAAAGGGGGTGTTTGCAGTGAGGTGTTTGGGTAACTCTTCTAAAGCCTTGTTTTGCTTCACCACCCTGAACTGAGGTGAGACCCCCCAAAAAACACCCTGAGACCCCAAAAAAACTACCCTGAGACCCCCCAAAAGCCTCCCTGACACCCCCAAAAACTGCCCTAACCCCCCCAAAAACCTCCCTGAACAGCACCCCCACCATGAACTGAGGTGAGACCCCCCAAAAACACCCTGAGACCCCCAAAACTTCCCTAACCCCCCAAAACCTCCCTGAACAGCACCCCCACCCTGAACTGAGGTGAGACCCCCTAAAAAACTGCCCTAACCCCCAAAAAACCACCCTGAGACCCCCAAAAACACCTTGAGACCCCCATAAACCCCTGAACAGAACCCCCACCCTCAACAGAGGTGAGACCCCCAAAAACTGCCCTAACCTCCCAAAAACACCCTGAGACCCCCCAAAAACTGCCCTAACCCCCCCAAACCTCCCTGAACAGCACCCCCACCCTGAACCGAGGTGAGACCCCCCCAAAAACCACCCTGAGACCCCCCCAAAAACCTCCCTGACACCCCCAAAAACTGCCCTAACCCCCCCAAACCTCCCTGAGACCCCCAAAACTGCCCTAATACCCCCAAACCTCCCTGAACAGCACCCCTACCCTGAACTGAGGTGAGACCCCCAAAAATACACCCTGGGACCCCCAAAACATCCTGATACCCCCCGAGACTCCCCCCAAAACACCCCCAGACCACCCCAAAACCCCCCAAGACCCCCTGAGACCCCTCTGAGACACCCTTGGGACCCCTCAGACTCCCCAGGACCCCCAGACCCCCAACCCCCCCAGGGCCTCCGAAACCCCCCAGGACCCCTCAGGGCCCCCTTAGGCCAACTTTGGGACCCTCCCAGTTCCACTTCAGACCCTCCTGGACCCCCCAAATTCCCCCGGGACCCCCAGACGCCCCCAGGACCCCCCAAACGCCCCCCGGTGCTGTGACCCCCCAACCCCCCCAGGACCCCCCAAACGGTCCCCCGCTCTCTTTAGGATCCCACCTGCTGCCCAACCCAGTGCTGTGACCCCCAAAACCTCTCCAGGACCCCCCAAATGCTCCCAGGACCCCCTCAAACCCCCTCAGGACCCCCAGGACCCCCCAAACGCCCCCTCTCTTTAGGGTCCCACCTGCTGCCCAACCCGGTGCTGTGACCCCCAAACCCCACCCAAATGCCCCCAGGACCCCCCAAATGCTCCCAGAACCCCTCAAACCCCTCAGGACCCCCAGGACCCCCAAACGCCCCTCTGTTTAGGGTCCCACCTGCTGCCCAACCCAGTGCTGTGACCCCCCAAACCTCCCCAAACCCCTCCAGGACCCCCTCAAACCCCCTCAGGACCCCCAGGACCCCCCAAACGCCCCCTCTGTTTAGGGTCCCACCTGCTGCCCAACCCGGTGCTGTGACCCCCAAACCTCCCCAACCCCCCAGGACCCCCCAAACCCCCTCGGCCCCCCCAAACGCCCCCTCTGTTTAGGGTCCCACCTGCTGCCCAACCCGGTGCTGTGACCCCCAAACCTCCCCAACCTCCCAGGACCCCCCCAAACCCCCCAGGACCCCCAAACGCCCCCCTCTGTTTAGGGTCCCACCTGCTGCCCAACCCGGTGCTGCCGCCGCGGGGGTCGAGCCCCTACAACACCCTCCTGGCCGAGGGGGCTTCGCCCCGCCTCCCCCCGCCTTCACCGCCCCAGGTGGGTCTGGGGGCCCCTGACCCCCAAACTGCCCCCAACCCCCGGGACCCCCAACCCCTCCCCCCAACCCCCATTTCAGCCTCCCAGGGTGGGTGGGAGGAAGGAGGGGAGGTTTTGGGGGTCCTGAGTGTTGCCCCCTTGTGACCCCCCAATTCCTCAGCCCCTCCCAGGGTGGGAATGGGGAGGGCTTGGGCCTCCCGAAACTGCCCCCAACCCCAAATCACCTCCAAATTGCTCCCAAATCTCCCACCCCGGGTTGGGGAGGGGCTCTGAGGGAGTTGGGGGCTGGGGATGATGGGGGTGTTTGGGGGTCGGGGGCGTTGGGGGCTGAGGGAGGGTTGAGGCTGGGGGTCCAGGCCCCCAACTGCTGCTTCTGTTCCCAGGAGCTTCCACGAGACCAGTAAGTGCCCCTCCCCCTCCGGGACCCCCTGACCCCCCTGGACCCCCCAGTCCCTCCTATGTTTCCCCTGGGACCCCCCCGACTCCCCCTGTCCCGCCCCTTGTCCCCCCCAAATCCTTCCCAATCTCCCCTCCCCCCATTGACCCCTCCCCGCAGAGCTCCCCTGGGACCCCAAATCCCCCTTGGCCCCCAAATCCACCCCAGTGCCCGCTCACCTCCCACTGACCCCCTTCCTCCCCAGAGACCCCCCGGACCCCTCAAATCCCCCTCAGACTCCCCTCCCTCCCCCCAAATCCCCCACTGCCCCCCCTAGAGCCCCCCTATGACCCCCAAATCCCCCCAGATCCCCTCCCCCCAAATCCCCCACTGCCCCCTCCCCAAATCCCCCACTGACGCCCTCCCCGCAGAGCCCCCGGGACCCCCGGAGCCGCTGCCCCTGAACGGCAACTTCAACAACAGCTACAGCCTGCGGGGGCCCTGAGGGGGCCTGGGGTCCCTGCGGGCCGGGGGTCTCTGGGGGCCCCCGACCTCTGCGGCGCTGGAGAAGATGATCATCTCGGAGCTGGTCCACAACAACCTGCGGGGGCGGCGCACGGGGGCCGCCCACGGGGGGTCCTGCGCACGCCGCGGGCCCCCTGCCCCTGCCCCCGCCGAGCCCCCGGCGCCCCCGAGCTGGGGCTGCTGTACCAGGAGCTGGCGAGGGGGCAGGGGGCTGGGACCCCCGGAGCCCCCTGCGACCCCTGGCACCCCCTGCCCCCGCGGGACTACCCTGAGAGCAGCCCCGAGGGACCCCCGCTCCCCTTCCTGGGGCGCCCCCGCGCCCCTCCCCCGCCCGCCGCCACAGCCCTGAGGCCTTCGGGGGACCTGAGGGGGCCTGGGGCCCCGAGCCCGACGGGCAAATGCAGCTCGTGACCAGCCTGTGAGACCCCCGGGGGGGGCGCGGGGGGGCCGAGACCCCGGCCCGGCACGAGGGGGAGCGCCTGGGGACTGGCTGCACGGGGACCCCCATTTACACGGGGGTCCCACGAGGAGCGGCTGGTCTGCACGGGACCCCCTTTACACGGGGTCCCACGAGGGGGAACTGGGCTGCACAGGGACCCCCATTTACACGGGGTCCCACGAGGGGGCTGGCTGCACGGGGACCCCTCCTTCACACGGGGTCCCACGAGGGGGCACGGGGACCCCCCTTTACACGGGGGTCCCACGAGGGGGGCACGGGGAACCCCCTCTTTACACGGGGGTCCAGCCTGCGTGGGGGTCCTGGGGCACAGAGACCCTCCTGGGCCGTGGGGAGTGGCCGTGGCCGGGGGGGTGTCTGGGCTCACACGAAGCCCCCTCCCCTTCCGGGGGGGTCCGGCCTTGCTCGGGGGGCCCCGGCCAGGACCCCCCTCACGTGGGGGCACAACCGGTGTCACACGGGGGGTTTCTGGTGTCACGGGGGGGGTCTGGTGTCACGGGGGGGCCACTCAGTGTCACAGGGGCCCCCCCCCGGTCGGGCACGGCCCTGGCTCGGTGCAGGGACCCGGCCCGGCCCGGCGACTCCGACCCCAGAGAGGCCCCGGCCCGGCCCGAGGAAATGTCGCGACTCGGGGGATGTCCCGGCCCGAGGATCCGTCCTGGCACGGGAGATCCGTCCTGGCACGGGAGATCCGTCCTGGCACGGGGAGATCCGTCCTGGCACGGGGAGATCCGTCCTGGCACGGGGAGATCCGTCCTGGCACGGGAGATCTGTCCTGGCAAGGGGACATCTGTCCTGGCACGGGAGATCTGTCCTGGCACGGGGAGATCTGTCCTGGCACGGGGAGATCCGTCCTGGCACGGGGAGATCTGTCCTGGCACGGGGAGATCCGTCCTGGCACGGGGAGATCCGTCCTGGCACGGGGACATCTGTCCTGGCACGGGGAGATCCGTCCTGGCACGGGAGATCTGTCCTGGAATGGGGACATCTGTCCTGGCACGGGGAGATCCGTCCTGGCACGGGGAGATCCGTCCTGGCACGGGAGATCTGTCCTGGCAAGGGGACATCTGTCCTGGCACGGGGAGATCTATCCTGGCACGGGGAGATCCGTCCTGGCACGGGGACATCTGTCCTGGCACGGGGACATCTGTCCTGGCACGGGGACCTTCCCCGAGGGATCGTCCCCTCCCCTCGCCCCGAGGAGGAGCCGGACCTGGCAGGAGCACCTGGTGTCACACCTGGACCTGGACCTGGACCTGGCACAAGATCTGGAGTCACACGGACCTGGTGTCACACCCGGACCTGGACCTGGCACGGCGGGGGCCCCTCCTGGTCCCGGGACCCGGCACGAGGATCCATCGTCCCAAGGGGATCCACCTTCCCACCAGGATCCACCTTCCCACCGAGGATCCATCGTCCCAAGGGGATCCACCTTCCCACCAGGATCCACCTCCCCATCAGGATCCACCTTCCCATCCAGGATCCACCTTCCCATCCAGGATCCACCTCCCCACCAGGATCCACCTTCCCGCCAGGATCCACCTTCCCACCAGGATCCACCTTCCCATCCAGGATCCACCTCCCCACCAGGATCCACCTTCCCACCAGGATCCACCTTCCCATCCAGGATCCACCTTCCCATCCAGGATCCACCTTCCCATCCAGGATCCACCTCCCCACCAGGATCCACCTTCCCATCCAGGATCCACCTTCCCACCAGGATCCACCTTCCCGAGAAGATCCGGCCTCACACGAGGGGTCCCCCCCTCCCCGGCCCGAGGGGTCGTGTCCCGAGGATTGTGCCCCCCCAGCGTGGACCCGGACCTGGCCCGGGGGTCCCTCCTGGCACGAGGACCCCCCCGAGGATTCCCCTTCCCAGCAGGGCCCGGACCTGCCTGGGGACTTTTTGGGGGGTCCCCCCCGGCCTGGGCAGTTGTTTGGGGGTCCCCCCTGTCCGGGGACCTTGTTTGGGGGTCCCCCCCGGCCTGGGCAGTTGTTTGGGGGTCCCTCCCTGTCCGGGGTCCCTCCCGGCCTGGGGATCCCTCCCGACCCGGGACTTTGGGGTCCCCGGCCCGGGGACTTGTCTGGGGTCCCCCGGCCTGGGCAGTTGTTTGGGTCCCCTGCCCGGGGTCCCTCCCAGCCCGGGGACTGTCAGGGGGTCCCGGCTCTTCGCACGAGGACTTTGTCCCCCCGGACCCTCCCCCATCCCCGGGGTCCCCCAAGCCGGACCAGGACCCTCGTGCCCCCCGCCCATGTCACCAGGAGGGTCCTCGTGCCCCCACCCTGGACCTGGGGGTTTTGAGGGACCCCCTTCCCCACCCCCAAAAGCCATCGCGGGGTCCCCCAAGTGCTCGGAGCTGGATGGGGAGGGGAAGGGGAGCATTGACACCCCTCCCAAAACTGAGGACCTCCAAAGCGGGGACCCCGGAATGGGGGACCCCCACAAAGAGACACATTTTCCTTGTAATATAGCTGTAAATGGACCAGCCCCCCGGGAAACTGAGGTACGGGGGCCCCCAAACTGCCTCCCTCTCCCGGGGTCCCTCCACCCGGCGGGGCCCCCTGGAGCACAACCCCCCAGCCTGGGGGGGCCTCGCTGTACACAGGGATGGGGAGGGCCCCCCCCAAATTTGAGGAGGGGGGGGTGGGAAAACGGACCCCCAAAATTCTGGGGATCCCCCTCAAAATTCTGGGGGTCCCCATTAAATTTGGGACACTCCCCCCCCAAAAAAAAAATATTGAGGGGTTTGGGGGGGTCCTCCCTGGGATCTTGACCCCCCCCTGTATTTTGGGGATCCCCCAGGGTACTTGGGACCCCCCTCCCAAGTTCTGGGGAGCTCCCACCAAATTTGGGGGTCCCCAGACTTTGGAGACCCCTCCCAGAGCTAGGGGAGCTCCCTTCTGGGGCCTGGGGAGCCCCCGAAATTTGGGGACCCCCCCTGGTATTGAGGACCCCTCAGATTTGGGGGCTTCCCTGGTGTTTTGGGGACCCCCGTATTTGGGGACCCCCAGGGTATCAGGGGACCCCGTACCTCATGTTTTGGGGACCCCCAGGGTATCAGAGACCCCTCCCCAGGTTTTGGGGACCCCCCCCATCTCCTGTTTGGGGTTTTGGGGCCTCCCAGGGGGTCCCAGCCCCTCCCCAGGTTTTGGGGTCCCCCTCCCTCCCCCTCTTAGCGCTGGGGGACCCCAAAACCTCCTCGGGGACCCCAAATCTGGGGGGTCTTGGGGTCTCCTCCTCCCCTCCCCCCCCAGGTTTGGGGGTCCCTCCTCTCCCCTCCCCCCAAAATTCTGCCAAACCAACTTTGGGTCGAGTGCGTCAAACCAACGAACCGGAGCCGAGGGGACGGGGCCACCAAAAGGGCCACCAAAAGGGCCACCAGGGCCACCAAAAGGGCCACCAGGGCCACCAAGGGGCACTGTGGGACCACCAGGGCCACCCAGGGTCACTGTGGGGTGGCTGAGGCCACCAGGGCCACCAAGGAGTCACCCAGGGTCACCTGGGCCATCGAGGGTCACTGTGGGACCACTCAGGGTCACCAAGGGCCACCAGGGTCATCAGTGGGGCCACCACGGGCACGGCCAGAGCCACCAAGGGCCACCATGAGGCCACCACTGGGGCCAGCACAGGAAGGGTCAGGGGACAGCCAGGGGACAGCCAGGGCCACCACGGGGCCACCATGAGGCCACCACCACCAGGGCGGCCACTGCTGAGGTGACCGAGGCCACCACGGGGCCACCAAAGGGACCAGAGGAGAGCCAGGGCCACCATGGGGACAGTCAGGGCCACCACGAGGTCAGGACCACCGTGGGGACAGTTTGGGCCACCACGGGGTCAGTTTGGGCCACTACGGGGTCAGGGCCACCATGGGGACAGTTTGGGCCACCACGGGGTCAGTTTGGGCCACTGTGGGGACAGTTTGGGCCACCACGTGGTCAGGGCCACCATGGGGACAGTCATGGGCCACTGTGGGGTCCCCAAGGCCACCATGGGGACAGTTTGGGCCACCACGAGGTCAGTTTGGGCCACCACGGGGTCAGGGCCACTGTGGGGACAGTTTGGGCCACCATGGAGACCGTCAGGGCCACCACGGGGTCAGTTTGGGCCAGCACGGGGCCTTGGCCCCCATGGGGACAGTTTGGGCCACCCCAGGGCCCGTCAGGGCCACCGTGGGGCCGGTCAGGGACAGGAGCCAATAAAGGTGACACCAGTTCTTGGAGCCCCCGCCTGTGCTTGGGGGGCTGGGGGGGCCCGGGGTGACCAGGGGGCTTGGAGGGGGACATGGGGGACATGGGGACATGGGACATGGGGGCTTGGAGGGGGACATGGGGGACATGGGGGGTTCAGGGGTGCTGAAGGGGCTGGGGGGCACATGGGGGTTCCTGGGGGGCAAAGGGGTTTTATGGGGTCTGGGGGTCCCGGGGTCAGGGGGTCCTGGGGAGGGGGTCAAAGGATGGTCAGGGGGTCTGAGGGGGATGTCACCATCCCCCTGGATGTCACCGTGTCCCCCCCATCCTGGGTGACCTCCCCAGGATGCCCCCCCCCAATCCCAGGGTGTCCCCCCATCCCGGGGTGCCCCCATCCCTCTGTGCCCCCGGACGGGCCCCTGCAGGGTCCGGGGTTCCTGAGCCCGAAGGGGAACCCGGCGGAGCTCGGGGCGCCCTCGGGGACGGGACCCCCGCGGGGGGGTCGTTCGTGGGCAGGGAGGGTCTGAGCGAGGGCTGGGACCCCGCGCGGGGGCTCTGTTCGTGGGCAGGGAGGGTCTGAGCGAGGGGCGGGACCCCCGCAGGGGTCGTTCGTGGGCAGGGAGGGTCTGAGCGAGGGCTGGGAGCCCCGCGGGGGCTCGTTCGTGGGCAGGAGGGTCTGAGCGGGGCTGGGACTCCCGCGGGGGGTCGTTCGTGGGCAGGGAGGGTCTGAGCGAGGGTTGGGACCCCCGCGGGGGGGTCGTTCGTGGGCAGGGAGGGTCTGAGCGAGGGTTGGGACTCCCGCGGGGGGGTCGTTCGTGGGCAGGGAGGGTCTGAGCGAGGGTTGGGACCCCCGCGGGGGGGTCGTTCGCGGGCAGGGAGGGTCTGAGCGAGGGCTGGGACTCCCGCGGGGGGGTCGTTCGTGGGCAGGGAGGGTCTGAGCGAGGGGCGGGCAAAGAGAGCGGTTCCCGTCACGGGGTCGGCTCGTTCGTTTCCAAACAACCCTGCGGGCGATTTTTGGGTTCGGTGAGGGGGAGGGGCCGCGGGGGGAGGGGAGGGAGCGGGGGTGGCCCTGGGGACACAAAGGGGTGGCCTCAGCCCTCGATCCGCGGCGGAGGCTGCCGGGAGCGGGGGGAGGGGGCTGCGTCTCGCTGCCCCGGGCGGGAGGTGGGTTTTGGGTGGTTACTCCGCCCTTGCCTTGAGGGGGGCAGGGAGTGCGTCGGGGGCGCCCGGAGCTCGTTCCGTGCCCGGAGCTCGTTCCGTGCCCGTCCTGCTCCTCCTGCTCCCGCCCGCGCCTTCCCCGCGCCCCGCGTGGCCCCCTCGGGAGGTCCGGCCCTCCCGCACGGGGAGGTTTCGGCGAAGAGGCCGCTTTTTTGGCCCCGTTTGGCGGCGGAGTCGGCGCCCACCGACGGCGCGGGCGGCCGGGAGGGTTTCCCGAGCCCGACTCGCTGCTGAGGGACCGGGGAGCGACCGGGAGAGAGAGAGAGGAGCGCCCCGAAGGACTCGGTGACAGCGCCCAGCCGGGCCGGGACACCTCGCCAGGTGAGGGGACGATGGGGCAGTTACTGACACGCGAGGAGAAGAGCCAGGCGGAGTTCCGAAAGGTGCTGGAGGCGTTCGGCGGCAGCGTGAGCCGCTCGGCGCTGGCCGCGCTGCTCGCGTGGGTGCGGGACAGCTGCCCCTGGTTCCCCACACAGGGGACCTTGAGCGTCGCCGCGTGGGAGCGAGTTGGGGAGGAACTGAAACAGAGACCAGATAAAAAAGCTTCGAGTTTACTGCCGACGTGGCAAAAGGTGTTTTCGGCACTGAAGGTCCGGGAAATCATCCTATTTTTTCGCCCGGCGGGCGCGCCCCTCCCCGAGAGGGGTCCCCAAGAGGAGCGCCCCCCGCTCGCAACCCAAGACTCGGCCCCCGCTGATCCTTTGGGCCCGCCCGAAGGGGTCGATCTCAAAAAGAAGCGCAAAAATCGTGCTCCTCCTCCCCTCCTCCTGCTGCTGCAGACAAGGACTCGCCGCGAGGTGCTCCGGGCACAGCCTCGGTAACCCCCCCAGCCCGCGCCGCCGCTCCCTCCGCGCCCCCCGAGCCAGCGGGGCGGTCCTCGAATCCAGAGGGGCGGTCCTGCAATCCAGAGGGGCGTTCCTCGAATCCAGAGGGGCATTCCTCGTCGCTCGCCCTCGAATCCAGCGGTGCATTCCTCGCCCTCGAATCCAGCGGTGCGTTCCTCGCCCTCTCCCGCGGATCCAGCGGTGCATTCCTCGCCTTCTCCCGCGGATCCAGCGGTGCATTCCTCGTCCTCACCTGTGAATCCAGCGATGCATCCCTCGCCCGGTCCCGCGGCTCCAGCGCCCTGGGGCAGAAGATCGGCGTCCCCCGGGGCGGGGGGCGAGGGGAGCAGCGACCTTTCCCCGTTCCAGGCCGCCCTGGGGCAGTGCAGGAAGATCGCCCTCTCGGAGGGGGACATGGACATGGTGAGAGCCCTCCCTGCGTCGCACTCGCGCGGCTCCTGGGACCATTTCCCGGCCGTGGTGAGGAAGCTGGGCGAGTTCATCCGCGACGACGGCCTGCAGTCGCCGGTGGCCGTGGCGTTCCTGCAGGCCATGGCCGAGGAGTACCCGCTGGCCCCGCGGCACTGGCGGGACCTCTGCCGCACCGCGCTGTCCCCGGCGGAGTTCGAGGCGTGGCTCGCCGAGTTCCGAGCGGGCACCGCGGCCCTGGCGCTGCCCGAGGAGCCCGCGGGCGAGGCGTGGCCGGACGGCTCTGCCGCGTCCCGGCGGGTGTCGCGGGTGGCGCTGCGGGCGCTGCGCGGGGTTCCCGCGTCCAAACCGCGCCGCTGCTACAGCGACGTCGTGCAGGGCCCGCGGGAGCCCTTCGAGGACTTCGTGGGCCGCCTGCGGGGCGCGCTCGACCGGCAGGTGGGCTGCGAGGCGAGCAGGGCGGTGCTGCTGCGGCACCTGGCGATGGAGAACGCCAACCACGACTGCCGGCAGGTCCTGCGGCCCCTGCGAGCCGCCCAGCCCTCGGTGAGCGACATGATCGAGGCGTGCCGGCCCGTGGGCTCCGTCACCTTCGAGATGCAGTGCCTGGCCGAGGCCATCCGCGAGGCGATGGCGCAGCCCG